GGGGCTGGGGATTTAGCTCAGCGGCAAAGCGCCTGTCTGGCAAGCGCAAGGTCGTGAGTTCAGTTCCCGGTACCAGAAAAAAACCAAAAAAACAAAAAAAAAAAAAAAAAAAAAAAAAAAAAAAAAAAACTTGAGATTTCTTGACTCATATGCTATTATTTAGAAGAATGTGGTTTAATATTAAAGTATTTGGAGATTTTCCAGCTAGATTTCTGTTACTGATTTCTAGCTTGATTTCCCTGCGATCAGGGAATACATATTGCATTGTTTTTATTCTGTTTAATTTATTAAGGCATATTTTATGTCCCGAATGTGTAGACAGGATAGCTTCATAAATTTTCTATGGGAACTTGAGAAGAATGTATATTCTGCTATTGCTAAAGGAAGAATTCTATAAGATATCTACATTTTTGTTTTGCTTTGTTTTTTTCCTACTTTAGGATATCTTTTATTGTGTATTTTCTACAGTATTTACACACAAATAATTGACATCTTTTCATGTTACACACTTGTACCATTTTCTTGTACCTGAGACATGTTCAGAGTTTTTTGAAAAGGAATTTATAATTGAGAACTTCGTACATGTACAGGGATTTGATCCAATAAGCATTCTTACATTTAGGCTGACAGATGACTTGTGTATGTCCCTTATGTTCTTGATTTCACACTATACTCCACTATTTTGTAAGTATAAATAAAACCAAAGTGACTAGAGGGGGCTTTCATGAAATGTACACGGGTATGAGTTTCTCCACTAGACAATGTTGTCTTGGTTCATTTTCTCTCATTGCTGAGACAAAAATACCTGATGCCCAGAATTAAGGAAGGAAAGGTTTATTTAGCTTACAGTTTGTGGAAGTTTCGGTCTATAGTCAGCTGGCTCCAAGGCAGAGTGGCACATGGCAGAGGGCAACGGTTCACAGCAGCCAAAAACAGCAAAAGCAACAGCAACAAAAGGGGAAAGAGCAAGCCTCCTTTCCTCCCTTACATTATCAGCTATCTGCCCGCAGGGCACTGTCTCTGCGCCCTCCTTTTGCACAGGCTCAGGATGAATACAAAGTAAGGATCCTGGCCCCCTGCTGAGTGACATAGTTAACCTTCTAAACTTTTCAAGGTGACACAATGAACAACATCCTAGAGCAGCAGGGGCATGTCCTTTTCACCCCAGGATGTAGAACTGCTGAGTTACTTACTTAAGTGGCTAGACTCCTCAAGTTGACACAATGTATCAACCATAACAAATGTTATGTTTCCATGAAGGCTCATGTAAAAGTGAAGCATTCCCACATTTTATATTTATACTTACTTCCAGTGTAAGTTTGTTCATGTTTTCTGAAATCATGGGAAATCACTAACAGCTTTCTCACATAATCTACATAGAGTTTCTGTCCAGTGTGAAGTCTTTCATGTATTTCAAGATAAGTGAAAGAATTGAAAGACTTCTCACATTGGCTGCATACATATGGCTTCTCTCCCATGTGAATACTTTCATGCATTTGAATGCATTGGGAAAAACAACACCTTTCAAACACTGATCACATCTCTTCAGATTCTCTTGACTGTTACAGTTCTCATGCATGTAATAATATATGTGTCTACTGAAAGATTTTATATACTACTGCTGCACCGGCCTCTATGGTCATTGTTATGGCTTGTATCTAGATGTTCCCTCAAAGCTTCATGCATTTAATAATATGTGTCTACTGAAAGATTTTATATACTACTGCTGCACTGGCCTCTATGGTCATTGTTATGGCTTGTATCTAGATGTTCCCTCAAAGCTTCATGCACTCATAGGTGGGGCTTTTCAGAGCTGGCGGATCAACTAGTGATGCTGGGATTGATTCACAGTGCAATGCTAGGATTAAGGATGTGAGTGCTAAAATATAAGAGACAGAAAGAGACAGCTGTTGTCATTGTCACTTGTAGCTTGCTGCTTGCTGCCTTCTGCTCACTGTTGAGGCAGGGCGATTGCTGCGAGTTCTAGGCCAGCCTAAGCTAGTAGTAAGACCCTGCCTCGGGGGGAAAAAGAAGATTGCTCTCTTACTGTTTCCATGCCACACCATACCCACCAGATAACTGGGTACTTTACCTCCCATCTGCACCTTACCCAAGTCAACAAAAGACAGACTCCGTAGTAATTGTGATGCTGCCACCTTCCTCCTACCCCACCCCTCATTACCAGGCATGGGCCGGTTGCTGCCATGTGAACTGTGGGCATCCAGTCCGGAGATGCAGACCCGAGGCTCTGTTTCCTGGAGCCACTCTTGGTGCCAGCCAGTCTCGTGTGGGCTCCTATGTGAGTACTTTATTAGAAAGCTTGAGTCCAAGGGCCAAGAGTGAAGGACGAAGGCAGCAGCAAGGGAAATCCAAGAGCAAAAGGAGCATAGGGCGTCAGACACACACACATCTGGATTCATGAACCGAGATTCACTGCTGGTACGTATTCAACCCAAAGTGTCCTGCACATCCCTTGAGCCTCAGCTTTCTCTTTACACGAAGAGAACACCACCACCAGCTTCAGGATTGTTCTGCTAATAAGAAATGCTGCACGGACAGAGCCCGATCATGATCCAGCTCAAATAATCCCTCACTATAGAACATGATATATATTAATCTGCAATGATTAATAATATTATATCCGACAGCAAGAACTTGTTCACTATTAGTCTTCAGTGAGCAATTACTGTGTACCTGGACCCCTGGGGTGGCACTGCTGACCCAGAGACCAGAATCGCTCCTGGTTTTGTTTTGTTTTGAGACAGGGTCTTGCTGTGTAGTTCAGGCTGGCCTTGAACTCGCTATGAGCCAGGCAGGGCTCAAACTCATGGGGATCCTTCTGCTTCAGCCTCCTGAGCGCTGGGATTACAGGCGTACGCCACCACGCCCAGCAACAAAATTACAGTGAGCAGTGTGGCAGAGGCAAGCTCCGGGTTCTGTGGGAGAGAGGGGCCCCAGAGTTTGGAGCAGGCGAAGCAGGCTGGAGCAAGGGTGCTTAGCTGGGCCCTGCCCCACGGGAAGGCAGGCCTAAGCCTGGGGGGACACCAGTGAGAGCCCCATCCCTCCCCCAGACATCCGTTCCGGACTAACGGCGGGATAGAGGCACATACCACCGCTCTCGGCGGGGTGGCTCAAGTTAGCAGTCAGCACCCTGCCTTCTCTCATCTCACTCTAATTGGTTAGATTTTTATAGCCAAAGGAACCCAGAAGACTGGTGACGCGGGTGGCCTTTTTTTTTTTTGGCGATCATCTTTTATTGCTCTAGTTTGGTTTTTCCTAAGAGGTACTATAAACAAATGGCAAGAAAACCCCAGCCTCTGGAGAATTCCTGCGCGCTCAGAGCCACGCCAGCACCCCTGGACTCTCCGAGCACCGCCCCGCCCTCGCCGCGCCTGTCTCTTTTAACACGCGGACCGAGGCGCGGCGGGGGCGGGGCGGGGCGGGGCGGGGGCCGGCTCTCTGCGCGGAGGTCTCTGGGAGCGTTTCCCTGGAGCGCTGCTGCTTTAAGGAGGCGGGGCTTTGCCCGGAGGAGGCGGGCAGTCCCGCCCCCCGGATCTCCGGCTTCCGGCAACTCCGCGCGGGGGAAGCGCTGGCGGAGCCTCTCAGGCCCGAGCGACCCTGGGCTGCGCGCGAGGTGAGAGGCTGCGGCTCGGCTCCTGCCCGTCGAACTTGCCTCTGTTTCGCGGCGTTCTGGCTGTAGGGTCGCCTCCTCAGCCGCCTGGCTGTGTGCGAAGTGCCTCACACGCGCCGTGTCGTTTAATGGCCCCCGCACTGTGTGAGTAGGCGCCGTTATGAACCCGTTTTACAGATGAGAGAGCTGAGCCCCCGAGGAGCGCCACACAGCAGAGAAAGAACAGAATCTGGAGTCAGACTCAGCTCTGCCAGATCCCAAAGCCCATGTCCGTGACCACTGTCTCGGCTGAACAGCTTTTGTTCCCTGCCACCTCTCCAGCCTTAGCCTCTCCTCCCTCACCCAGCCACCCAGGCTGCGTCCCTCCGTCCCTAAACGACCACACGGCGGAGCGTGTGCATTGGGTGGAACTTGCGGACTACTGGCGTTAGTTCCTCGTTTTGTTTTGTTTTTGAGACAGAGTCTCACTAGATAGTCCAGACCTGCCTTGAGCTTACTGTGTTACCCAGGCTGGCCTCGAACTCGCAGCAGTCCTGCTACCTCAGCCTCCTGAGTGCTGGGATTACAGGCGTGCATCACCACCCTTGGCAATTTCTTTATAATAGTTTTATATGTAGAGCTATGAAGCCCCACTGACAAAGAAGACTTAAATGGGTTTTGTTTGTAGATATTTTACTTTATTATCTGATGAAGTGTACTATCTTTTCCTTGTAGACCTCTGCACCTTTTCCTCCTAACTGGGAGAAGACCCACTGACTGAATGGCAGCTGTGGATAACTTGCAGTTTGAAGGTATAACATTTGGGTGTCCACCTTTGTGATGGCTATTTCTGCAGTCAGAGCAATGCATTTTCATTGCTATACTGGCTTGGACATTATTTCAAACACCTTGGTAAGAGACTGTGGGTCACACCCGGGGTTTTGGTGTTTGTTCATACCAAATTCCTGGGGATCCTTCTGCCTCACCCTCTGGGGTGCAGGGATAACAGGTTGACCTTACCATGCTAGGCTCCCATGTTTTTTTTTAATAAGAAATGAAGGCAGAGAAAATTCAAGCCGTTTGTTGAAGATCACACAGTTAGTAAACCATCAAGGGAGGATTTGCCAGGCAGTCTGGCATCACAGACTTTACTGTCTGAGGAAGAGCTATGATGAATAAAGAGAAATCTGCTTCTCTGACAAAGTCTGCCATATCCGTAATACGCCTCACACCCTCCGCTTCTGACAGCTTCCGCCTCCACTTCTAACCATGTTCAGAGACACTTACCATCTTTTGGCTTATAGCTCTTGTTATCACCCTTCTAGCTCCTTGCTTCCTCCCTTGCCCTTCTAGAGAATATAATTTGCAGCCATGGTAGTCTTTTTGAAACTAAGCCAGATCGTGTCATTCTTTCAGAACCTTGCATTAGTCCCCATCTTAGTAGGAGTGAAAGCTGGGGCTCTGTGACTTAGGAGACCTCCACACCATCCAGCCTTCCTCTCCCCTGATTTCATCAACTGCTTCTGCCTTTCCTCTCTGCCCCAGCAGCAGGGCCACATCACTGTTTCTGGTACAGTCACAGTTTAGGGGTTTTGTGCCATCTTTCTGTCGTAGACGGTCTTTCTCCAGTGAACCACGTGACTTACTCCCTTACTCTGATGAAATTTTGCTTCATTGCAGAGGCTTCCTTGGAGTGGATTGCAAGAAAGTTCAAGCATAGAGAGCAGCCTGTGCAAGTCCCTGAGAATAGAAGTTTGATTTTTTCCACCCAGGACTGGCAGACGGTCTCTGTTCTAGACCCCAGATGGGGACGGAGTGGAGGCCTGGCAGAAGTGAGGCTTGAGGGCAGGCAGGCAGTGGCTAGAGCAAGGTTTATAAAGTGTTAGGGACTTGGGGCTGTGGGAGTCGTAGCCGGCTTCCCTGAGGAAGAATGGTAGTGCTACATGGGAAAGAGGAGGTCAGGAGCCTTCAGGTAAAAGACGTCGTGGGCGGAGGGGAACAGAGACAAAACATGGCTTAGGTGATGCCAGGATATAGAAGTAGAGAACGTTGGTGGCAGAAGTCAGACCCCAGCCTTGCCCTCAAGGAGCCGAGGTGGACAAGAATAACATGCGGAGAATTGCAAACATGCATTGTGCTAGAAGTAGACACAGTGCACACTCCCGTCGAACTATCCCTGCACTGCCAGAGACACTTCCTTGTCCTTGGGTCTTGCTCATCTCCCAGCCTTTACAGGAGATGCTTTCCCCACCCCTCTGGCCATTCTTCTCCTTTCCAAATCTCCATCTGCGGTGGATGAGTTACCTTCTGTTGCGTCTCCTTGGCCTTTGCCTTTCTGTTCTTCCTCCTGGAATGCCCTCTTCTCTGGTAAACTTTTTAAATATGTGGTTTAAGTGTATCTTACTTGGTCTGAGTCCCTCTGGCAAGGCTGTGACCATCTTTTTAAATGCCAGTGCCCTGTCCAGCAATTAGTGGTAACTCTAACCTCATGTCATACAATCTCTGTATGAGGAGGTATGATCTGTATTTTATAGGTGAAAAAACAGAGACTCACTGGGAGTAATTTGTCCAAGGTGTGGGTTATGGACTTAGTCTCAGCTTTAACAAAGAACTGTCTCATTCTAGACCCTCATGTTGCTTTTGTTTTTTTGTTTTGTCTTTTTGAGACAGGGTGTCCCTGTGCAGTTCACGTTGGCCTTGAGCTCACCTTGTAGTCCAGGCTGGTCTTGAACTCGTAACGATCCTCCTCTCTCAGCCTCCCAAGTGCTAGGATTATAGGTGTCATGCCCAGTGAAACCTTCAAGCTGTTTAAATAACCCAAGTGTTGCCTGAAGCTAGAATAATTGTTATGTATTGGCTTCCTGATTAATTCTAGTCACTTTGGTTTTCTGCATAAAACTTCATTTAGCTGAAGGGTGGTAAAAGTAAGCTCAGTTTTCCAAGAGCCCCATCCTATTGGCAGGATCTGTGTCATGCAGTAATATTAATAATGGTACCATTCTTTAGGCCTTCAAAGGCCCTGAATTTTGTAAAATTCAATAAAGTACATTAGGATGCTCAGAGACAGGAAGTCCCAGTCACTGCTGGTGGACGTAAGTGGGTCAGAGTCTTTTGGAAAGCAGGTTAGCGGTATGGCCCAAGAACCTTAAACCTGGTAACCTAGTGAATGCACTGGTCGTGGGCATCCCAAGGCAGTAACTCAGAAAGCTTTCTCTACAGACATTCCTTATATGTTTCAGAGACTGTTACAATGTGAAAAAAGTTTTGTATGTAATCACTAGTGGATAAAAACAGGATACACAATTGTTGGTACTTGGCACTCTATAAACATGAAGTAAATATTTGTTGAATGAGTGACAGTCACTGGCATGAGTCTTGCTGTGTACAGAAAAGGAAGTGTACCACAGGGTTCATGGTGTGTGCCTTTGTGTGAAGGGACTAGGAGCAATTTTTATTATATGAGTTGTACTTTTTTGTCCTTATATTTTCTACAGTGATTACATAGGACTTACTGGGAAAGAAAACGTCCATGAATTTTTTTTAACTTTAATCAAAGAAGAGAGGATTAGGTTAGGCCAGACACTTAAAGGACTTGAGTTAGGTAATATTCCAAACTCTCCCTTCTAATGTTGTGTGTGTGTGTGTGTGTGTGTGTGTGTACGCGCGCGCATGCACGTGTGGTGCTGGGGATTGAACCCAGGACTTTTGCACTGAGCTGCATCCCAGCTCTTTTTGTTCTTTATTTTGAGACAAGGTCTTGCTGAGTCACTAAGTTGCCTAGGCTGGGCTCAGACTTGCAATTCATGTGCCTTAGCTTCCCAGAGTGCTGGGCTTACAGGTGTGCACCACCACGCCTGGCCACTCTCCAAATTCTTTAACATAAATACTGTTCTCTCTGTTGTATGGGTAGGAGCACTGAGGTTTATAGTTTATATGCTCAGGTTCATGCAGTTAGGAAGTAACTGAGCCAGGACTGAAATCTAGGTCTGACTCTAAATTCTGTTGTGTTCATAATCATACTTCAATGTCAGATTGATTTCTAGATGAGGTTTTTTTTCCCAAGCTTATGGCTGTTACTTTTGGATAGGGTCCATAGGTTGTAACAACTTGTCTTTCAATGAAAGCATAGCATTTCTAGGTGTGTAAGGTCCCTGAAACCCTTGTGTTGTACTTGGTTTCAGAGTTTGGTGATGTACCGACTTCCCTAGCAGCAAACCCAGATGTCACCACGATAAGCATTGAGGATCCTGGCGAAATCCCAAAACATCAGCCAGGACCTTCGAGAGGCTCAGGGAGAGAAGAGGATGATGAGTTACTGGGCAACGATGACTCTGACAAAACTGAGGTTTGAATTTAACTTTGGATTCTTTTCTTTGAATTTTTTTAGTGCTTGTTTATATACTTACTCACTGCATCAGGTACAGTGCCAGGCAGTGGCCACACAAGGGACAGTGACCTGTGGCCTTTACCTTGATGTAGGCACAGGCATAGACCATTATCCGTGGAAGCGCTGGTGGAGGGCACAGCAGCGGGTAGAGCAGAGAGCAGCTTAAGAAGGCTTCCTGGAGGGAGTCATTGGGTCGGCATCTGGATGAAAGAGGAGGAGGTGGCCGGGGGAGGAAAGCGGCTGAGGGTGATATATGCAAGGGGATGGTCTTGATGAAGGCAGCGGGAGGAAAGAACATGGTACGGGTGTCACTGGCTAGCATGAGTTCTCTTAGTGGGAATGGAAATTAAAGCTAAAGCGCAAATTCACAGGAGAAAACTTAATTGTAACATTAGGGGGAAGAAAGGAAAGGACTTCAGCTTAGGTAGCTGGAGAGGGCACTGTGATACTGGGGTTCAGATTGGCCCAGCTCTCAAAGATTAGTGGTGGGCTGGTGTTGATCATGTCTCAGCCCGGTGTCAGAGTTCTGGAATCTATGGTTGAGGGATGGTTTCGATTCCAGCAAAAGACTGTGTCTATCTGTGGTGATCTCAGTCATCTTTCCTGAAATCCAGGTGATCAAGTTAGTGGCTTTTGGGTCCTGAAGAAATTCTTTCCAGGTTTTTGGTGTCCTGAACAGAGACTTGGACATGACACACAGAAAAAGGTAGTGAGATGTAAATTTCTTGTAGGTGGAAATGAAGTACATTTTGCCCAGTTTTACCAGTAAGTCTCTTCCTAGTGAGGGACTAGGGCACCATGGGGCAATTACAAACTCATAGTTGAATGTTTGACCTTCAAATTGATATGTCAAAACAGGAGTAAAGAAACTCTTGACTAGAACTCCCCTTAACCCCAATTTTGGCTCTAGTTCTAGAGGAGGGTTTTCCAGAGAAGGAAAACAGAATAAGCTGTGCCTGTGTCTGAAAGGAATTGAGGGGCTGGGGATGTAGCTCAGTGGCACAAGTGCCTCCCTGGCAAGCGCAAGGTCCTGAGTTCGATTCCCAGTACCAAAAAAAAAAAAAAAAAATTGAAAAATAAAACAAATTGAGTTTGCTTACCCATGGCTTCCAACATCAAGGGTTTTTTCGAAGGAGAGGGAGATGTCTGTGAACAGGGACATGGCAGTTTGCTCCAGGGCCCTTCTGTCCTCTTTGTCATAGTGGGAAGTGGGGCCTTCGGCAGGCGTATCCCCTCCCAGAGAGTGGCGACAGTCACTCCTCCAGGGCCATGAGTCAGGCACATCAGCTACCTGACACACAGCAGGGTCCAGATGATGGCCTGGTACAGCCGTGTGCCCATTGTCCAGTTGCCTTGTGTTTAAAACAGGAACTCCTTCATTGATTAGCCCTGGGTCTTCCCTTGGGTGACTTAGGTGTGCTTAAAGCATTGTTGGTTACAACAGCTATAATTTTGGCCTTTTTTCTGGGTTTCTCTCTGTTTCATTCTCTTTCAGGTCTCAATTGTTGAACACAGGGAAGGCTCTGTTCAGCTTTTGGATTGTAGGGTCCTTGGAACCCATCTGAAGTTTCTGTCATTTTTGCCGAATTTCTGCAGTTGATCAGTCCCATGAACTGTTTTCCTGAACTACAGGGTCTTCCTGGGTTCTGTGTTCTGTGCATGTGCCCTTGGTCTCATAACTGATAGATTATATCTACTTGCGTCACTGAATTTGGCCCAACCTTAACCTCCTACCTCATTTACAAGTTTAGGACAGTGATTCCAGCCTTTTGGGTATAGCTGAATGTCCCTGTAAACCTCTTATTTTGGTAACCTCAGTCTCTTAATCTTTTTTTTTTTTGCCCCCGGGACAGAGTCAGTGTATAGTTCAGGCTGGCCTTGAACTCAATGTGTAGCCTCAGCTGGCCTTTACTTGCAGCTCCTGAGTATTAGATGCTCTTTCTGAAACTATGAGATAGCAAAATAAGTGCTAAATTTTATGTTAAATTCAATGGTGTTACATACTAAATATTGTGACAGAAACTCAAATTTAAGAACCTGGTCCTGCCAATGGTAAGATGGTCTTGGGAAGGGCACTTTCACTTCTCTGAACCTGGGTTTGCTCATCTGAAATATGAGAAAAAGATCAATTCGGTCTTGTGGTCGTTGTCATCACTGACGATGGCTAATTTTCACTCAGTGTTTAAATGCTCCCAGCCACCAGTTAGTCCCTTTACTTGCGTCATCTCATAGAATCTTTAAAAAACAACAAACAAAACGCAAGGCCCATTGCTTGACACACACCTGGAATCCCGGCACTCTGCGAAATTGGGGCTGGAAGATCGTAAGTTCAAATCCAACCTGGACAACTTATTGGCTTAGTGAGACCTTGTCTCAAAATAAAAACTAAAATAGGGTTGGGTAATGTATCTCATTGTGAAGGCCCTGAGTTCAATCCCTAGTACTGGGGGTGGGCGGGGGAGGGGAGAAACCCTTTTGACCAAGGAGTGATTTTTATCCTCATATTATAAATGAGAAACTTGAGGCAGAGAGTTTAAGTAACTTCCCTAGACACAACTGGTAGATAGCAGATGGAGGTTTAACTCAAGGCCATCTGAGTCCAGAGCCTGTGTTTCTTACTGCTAAATGATGTATGAGACGAAGCAGATGTGTTTTTTTTGTTTTTTTGTTTTTTGTTTTTTTTTGGTTTTTCTCCGGTACGGGGAACCAAACTCACAACCTTGCGCTTGCCAGGCAGGCACTTTTGCCGCTGAGCTAAATCCCCAGCCCCAGGAAGCAGATGTTAAATGCTTTCTAAAGTGGGTTCTCTCAGGTCTAAGGGTTGTTATTCCTATAGCTGAGTGTGTTAGGGTTCTCTAGAGAAAGAAGGCCAATATATTTGGAGAGAGAAAGATTATTTTAAGGAATTGGCTTAAGTGATTGTGGCGGCTTGGCAAATCTAAAATCTGATGCAGGAAGCCAGCAGGCTGGAGTCTCAGGAGCGGTACAGTTCAGAGGCCATCTGCTGAGAGAATTCTTGTTTGCTGGGAAGAGGGAGGGAGTGGGTGTGGGTGGGTGGGGCTGACCTCTTATTCTAGTCAGGTCTTTAGTTGTTTGGCTGAGGCCCACCCACATTATAGAGGACAATCTGCTTTACCTAGTCAAGCAGTATAAGTGTAAATCTTGTGGAGAAGCACCCTGTTAGAAACATCGAGGAGAATATTTAACCAATATCCCTGCACCATGACCCACACCAGTTGACACATGAAATTAACATCACACTGAATAACACCAGGCACCAGTGTTTAAAAAGAAACATAGCCAGGTATGGTGTAGGGCGTGGTAACACTATAATCCCAGCACTCAGAGGCTGAAGCTGGAGAATTGAAAATCTGAGACCAACCCAGGCAATTTAGTGATTGAATGAGACCCTGTCTCAAACTTACAAAAGTAAGAAGGGCCGGATATAGCTCAGTGCAAATGTTATTGGGGTAGCTCCTTCTAAAAGTGGCTCACCAATTAAATGTTCCTGGATTCTGGGTTGCTCGCCTCTCCTTCTGGAGTTAGAGTCTAGGCTCTCCTCTCGAACAAAGAATTAACAAAATGAACAAAAAGCAGTAGTAAGGTTTATTTGACAAAGTAAAAATGAAGAATGAGAGAGAAACTGGCTCTGCTTGGACCAAGAAAATGGAAGTTAAAAGTACACCGTGGAGGAAGCAAAGTGGGCTGTGGTGAGCAAAGCCATGATAGCAAGCTCTTTTTGGCATCTCTGTCCTTTATACTGTCCAAACCTCAAGGAAACCCGTGCGAACTTCTATATACAAGTCCTAAGAGGCAGTGCTGGGATCGCGTGCCTCAGGCTGATGTCAGCTCTAGGCCGTCCTCATGAAAACCTGCTCAGTTTCTCACAGGAAGTCCAGGTGCAGGGCCCTGGGGACTGTTCTACACAAGTGTTCCAGGATCTTGTAATTAACAGGTCACATCTACTTCCTGAGCCAGCTTTGCCACGCCCTAATCTCCCGTATCAGCTAGTCCTCCTACTCCAGTGCCTATTTTAGTTCCTATGCCCAGACTCAATAGGAGAAGAATGAGTTCTGTGGCTTGCTTGGTTCTTGTTCTGGTGGCTGCAGGAACCGAAAGGGGTTGGTTATTAGGTGCTGTATTGATCTCCGGGGCCAGATAAATAAGGGTGCATGTTTCTGTCCAATTTGTTAGAAGATACAAAGAGGGATCAGTGCCACACAGGAAGAAAAGTGCCTGAGTCTTAAGACAGAAATTATTTTCAGTAATAAACATGTGTGAGCTGTTTATTGTCATTTTCCTAAACAGAAGTCCCTGCCAATGTAGTTCCAGTAAGAGGCTGAAGGAGCCTATAAGAAGTGTCTGGAGTACTTCTGGGCCCTGTAACGAGCTTATCTGCCATAGTGGCAGTAGCATCCCACCCTAGATGGAAGGCATCAGGAAGGCACTTAATAGCTTTGTGACTTGCCACCATGATCATTGTGGCAAGAACAGCCAAGAGGTACCGCCACTGGCCTTTTTGGACTCCTCCTTCATCACCAGTTATCTGAAGCTCTTGTGTAGGGTACCTTGGCTCCAAGTTACAATCTTGATATTAGAACACTGGAAGAGTTTTTGATGGGCTGGGGTTGTTTTGGAGAACAGCCTGTTTGTTTGTTTTTCTTTGTTTTTCTTCCAGTTCCGGAAATCGAACTCACAACCTTGTGCTTGCCAGGCAGGCACTGTGCCACTGAGCTAAATCCCCAGCCCCAGGACAGCCTGTTTGGTAGCCAAATCTCCCTTTGAATTTGGGAGACAAGGTCCAAGGAGCCAGTGATGAACAACAGCTACTTTGCTAGGGAGATTTACTACCTCCAGGATGGTAAGGATCTCTGGTCTCTTTTATTGGTGACTGGTGGCTAGTCAGAAGTCTCCTTTCTGGGCCGGGGATGTAGCTCAGTGGCACAAGTGCCTGCCTGGCAAGCGCAAGGTCCTGAGTTCGATTCCCCATACCAAAAAAAAAAAAAAGGCATACTTAGAGGCAGTATATATTGGCCGTCTTGCCCTGGGCAAGTTGAAGAGCCCAAATGAGGGCAGTAAGTTCTGTTTTTTGGGCTAAGGTTAAAGGAGGAATTCCTCTTGCTTTAGTGATGTGGTTAGGCTGACTATGGCAGGCCCTGGCCTCCTAATGCCACCCTTTATGAAACTCCTGCCATGAATGAACCATGTGCTTTCCATTCCTGTCAGTGGCTAGTCCCTTAGGTTGGGGCAGCTGGCATAATTCTGGTCAGTGGCTTGTTCACACTCATGTTCTACCTGTTGGTTAGTTGGGAGGAGGGTAGCTTGGTTTAGAACTGTGCACGACTGTCTGGGTTTTCAACAAGAATAGCTTAGTATTTAGTGAGCCTTTCTGCAGTCATCTGTACTCATCCCTTGAGCTCTGACAGGCCTTAACCTGGTGTGCAGTTGGAACTGAGAACTTTTGTCCCATTGTTATCTTGCAGCTAAGAGCACCACAGCAGCTGTTGCTCATAGGCAGCTAGCCCAACCTTGGGCAGTCATTTGGAAAAGTAGGTCGTCAGCTGGGTTGCTGGTGTCTCTGGTCTTGTGTGGGCACCAGTGCCACTTCCTTTGGACTTCTGGATCTTCTCCTTCGGCCAGGACAGGGGTCTGGAGCTGGGATACCCTACTGGCTGGACACCTCTAGCCAGTTATACAATCATCTAACATTAAGGCATGCCTGTCTATAGAGGGGTGGTAAGTGCTTCCCCTAAAAAAACCCCAAAGAAACACTGAAAAATTTTCCTGTGTCTTTGGCTCCTGGCTGAGAAATTTGACAGATGGTCTTCAGTCCTGATCTACTATCCAGGGGAGCAGGGCCTCTGGGTCCTGATAAGTTTTTGTCCCAGCTGTTGCAAGTAGGGTAGGTGGAGTTTGCTCACTCACAAAGGGTTAAGGAAAGTCTAATGGGTGAGCAGTCCAGTAGATGGCAGTGTAAGAACTGGGAATAGGATGAGTCCCGAGGGAAAGAGGCCAACAAACTGGGAAGGCCTTCTGAGCCACTGTTACCCTGGGAGAGGTGGGATTCTGGACCCCACTGCTGCCAGTAGCCCAGGCCAGACCTAGCTTTAAAACTTGACCTCTTGTACAGTGCCTTTCATCCCTACCTAACCCCTTCTCTCCATCCCCAACTCCACTGACCCACTTTCCAAAAGGATAGATGAAAACTTCAACATGAAGGACAGGGAATTTTCAGAGGAGATAAAAGGATCCTGCCTATTTGCTTTATGAGGAAGGGGGGTGCAGGATGAGAAGGGATGAAAAAGAGTTTAGAGGGCCTGCCTCAGCCTAAAATGTTTAGGCTTCAGAGACTAGCCACTGAAAAGGAATCCCCAGGGGTTCGTGGCAAAAGAGAAATCGCACAAACATAAATCTGAGCAATACATGGAAGTTTTCTTGTTCTTGGCAGAGCCTAAAAGCAGAAAAAAATTTCCCCAAAAGGGGCCTTACCTCCTGGTTGGCTCACCAAGATGTATCTATTGGTGATGGGTGTGGGTTCCTAGGTTCTTGTGCATGATGAATAAAGAATTCATGTGGCATACAACTTAAGGGAGAAGCAGCAAAGTTTTTTAAGGTAGACAGTACACTCAGAATGAACAGGCTCGCGCCTGTATGAAGAAAATGGTACGAGCACTGAGGGCACAAGGTTCAGGGGTTAAACTTTTGCACCAGTTCTGGAGTGCCTCCCATTGAGGTCTTCCAAAGCATGACTGACAACATGATTGACCAGGAGCTGTGTCACGTCGCCTGTGTCTGTTGTGCATGTCCTCTCCCGTGATTCACTGTTATAATTGGATGTATGACATACAGTCCATACACATGAACCTGCAGTGAGCTCCAGGTAAAGAAAGGTTATTGTAGATTATGCCAGTAGGTCTCGTGCACAGGCATCCTGGTTTAGAATTTTGGAGTTTTCCAGGACAGGTTTGTAGGCCTCTGCTTCATAGTGCTGCCTCTGTGTAGTAAGGCTTAAGACAGAGATGGTGGTGGCTGGGGCTTGGTCCTGGAGCATTGCTCAGCTTCAGGTGAATAAAGGGGTGTGACCCACAGCGAATGGAGAGGAGTGGCCCCATAGCTTCAGTTGCATATCTATATTACTATCTCAAAGTAAAATCAAAAGGGCTGGGGATGTAGCTCAGTGATAGGGCACTTGCATGGCATGGACAGTCCTCTGGGTTCATTCCCCAGCACTGGAGAAAGAAAGGGAGAAGGAATTGGTAGTCATGACGTCAGGTCTGCGTCTGCCATTGGAGAGCTGTGTTGTGGGGACAGCCAAGGCCCTCCTCACGGCCTCCTTTACTTTGGAATGTTGGCTTTTTCCTTCTTTCTTTTCTTCCTGTCAGATGAGTAATATTTTCAATACTTTAGAGTGAATCAGTATATCAGATTTTTGAGACTATAAGTGGCCGTAGCAGTAAGGATCTTGAAGTTGTGGGAGAGGAAAAGATAGTTACACCAGCTGTCTTTTCTGTGTATTAGTGACAGAATACATTCCACATACTATTTTTTCTTTTTTCTGTTCAGTACTGGGAGATTGGGCCTCATGCATGCTAGGCAAGCACTCTCCCACTGAGCTAGTCCCCAGCTCCATATATCCTCCCTGTTTTCCTATGAGGTAGATCTTGTTAACTGTACAGTAAGTCCCTAGTTTATGAATGAGTTCCATTCTGGGAGAATTGTTCATAAGCTGGGTTTGTTCATAAGCCAACAAAGTGAGCCTGAAAGTTCGCAACTCAAATATGTGTAAGTCGGGGACTTATTATCCTTTTAGTTAAGGGAACTAAGCTGGAAAGGAATCTGATGATTCGCCGGAGCTGCCCCAGTGGAGGGGCCAAGATTTGAAAGCTTCTGGTGTGTGAAAAGCAGATGCTTGCTGCTCTGTCAGGCTCGAAATGGGGCATTGGCTATTGCAGAAGTGGTCATTGAATGCAGAAGAACCTGGTGTTTCTCTTACATTTTGCTTTTTCATCAGATCAGTTCGTTCCCTCCCCCTCTCCCCCTCCCCTCCACCCCTCTGCCTCCCCCTCTCTCTGTCCTTCTCCCTCTCCCTCTCCCTGTCTGTATGTGTGTGTGTGTGTGTGTCTCTCTCTCTCTCTCTCTCTCTCTCTCTCTCTGTCTGTCTCTCTCTCTGTCTGTCTCTCTCTCTGTCGGTCTCTCTCTGTGTCTATCTGTTGGTTGGTCTCTCTCTGTTTCTTTCTGTCTTTCTCTTTCTCAGAAGCTGGAATTATGAAATGGCTGCTGGTTGGGGTTTTTTTGCTGTTGTTTGTTTGTTTTTTGTGATACCAAGGACCAAACTCAGGGCCTTGCCCATGCTAAGCGCATACACTGGCACTGGGCTAAGTCCCCAGCCCTCATTATGTCTTGTTTTTACCTTTGACAGTTACTTGCTGGACAGAAGAAAAGCTCTCCCTTCTGGACTTTTGAGTATTATCAAACATTCTTTGATGTGGACACTTACCAGGTTTGTAAACGTGTTTTATCCTTCATTTTACGTGAGGGAGATGTATTTTTTCTGTGACAAAACAGTCAAATCATGGGAAAGTCTTTCTGTACTAAAAGAAGTTTCGGGGCTGGGGATTTAACGCAGCGGCACAGCGCCTACCCTGCAAGCGCAAGGTCGTGAGTTTGATTCCTGGTACCAGGAAAAAAAAAAAAATGAAGTCTGACAAAAATTAAGAGTTGCCACTTAGGGGCTGGGGATTTAGCTCAGCGGCAAAAGCGCCTGCCTGGCAAGCGCATGGTCGTGAGTTTGGTTCCCGGTACCGGAGAAAAACCAAAAAAAAAAAAAAAAAAAAAAAGAAGAGTTGCCACTTATTGTGAAAGTACTATCATAAAAGCTCAAGTAATGGAGTTTCACTTTTGACTTAGTTGAATTTATTAAACTTCTTTTAAAAAGTACTCTGTAGAATTACTGCTATGTTGTTTTCCAGGTCTTTGACAGAATAAAAGGGTCTCTTTTGCCAATACCCGGGAAAAACTTTGTGAGGTTATATATCCGCAGCAATCCAGATCTCTATGGTATGTGTGGTGCTGTTTTGATTCTTTACCACGTAATAGTTGAACTGGGCTAAATGTGTGGGTTGCCTAAAAAGCTGGAGAATTACACTGTTGGTGGGGTCTACACTATTTTATTTTTATTTGATTCTTCTGAGATTCACTAGCAACTCTTGCAAAGAATTTAGGGGGCAGTGCAATTGGGTATTATGTTAATTGCACAATAACAAGCACGAGTATGCCTGTCAAAGTCTTTAGATGATATTACAAGCTTGAAACAAATGAAGCAAAATTGTTGATTTCACTTTATAGAGGATTTGCTGGTGGGGTAAGTGTGGAGAACATAGTCTCACACTTTTTCATTGATGTGCTGAGGTCAGCTCTGCCTTCAGATGGGCTGGTTCTCTCTGGGATTTGGTCACCAAACCAGAGGGTAGCTGTCATTCCTGAACCCCCTGCTGCCAGAGAACATCTCCAGGGTCCACCCAGAGCTTCTGAGGAAATGGCCCCCATGACAGTGGCCCCCTGTGTTTGAGGGGAACATCTGGCTGTCTGTGTGGCAGGTGCTAGGCCAGATTCTAGACTTTTCACAAAGCAGGGAGAATATACAATATCAAAAACCAGGAAAAGTGCAGATCCTCTTTAGAGGTTAGGAAGCTCCCTTCTGCCCAGCCATGTGCCCCATGACGTTTCTGGAAGTTCCTCTGGGATTATGGGAATGATTCCGGGATACCTCAGCAGAAGCCATTGTGCTACCGGGTATGGTGGCACACACCTATAATCACAGCAGGAGGATTGTTGTGAGTTCAAGGCCAGCCTGGCTGCATAGTAAAACCCTATCTCAAAAATCAAAACAAAAAGAAAAGAAAAGAGCAGTTGTGTTGGCTGTGCCTTTCATTTAGGAGTGGTGGTCAAGGTAGTTTCCTTGCTCTCTCATTGCTGCTGCTGCTGCTTCTTTTTTTTTTTTTTTTTTTTTTTTTTTTTTTTGGTACTGGGAATCGAACTCACGACCTCGCACTTGCCAGGCAGGCACCGTGCTACTGAGCTATATCCGCAGGCCTCTCAATGCTTCCTGTTTCCAGGCTGAGAATTTTTGAGGAGCAGGCTGTGTCTGAGGAATCTATGCCTCCAGTACCTGGCAGGCACCTTGGCACAGAGCAGCTGCTCAGCAGTTTTCAAACACTTCATTCCGCACTAGGCTCTGTGCTAGTAGGGAAGATTTCAAGACAATGCTATTGCCCCCAACCCCAAGGAGGAAGAAGAGAACTAGCATCTGTTGAGTACATCACAGTTACCAAGTGTGGAGATAAGCACTACTGCATTATTTTACAATATTTTATTTCTTGTGCTCCAGGATTGCCTTATCTTACGAAAGAGAACCCTGAGGTTTAGGGATGGTAACCTCCCCATAGCCACAGAGTTAGCCATTGTAACAGTAACAGCAAACAATCAGAGTGTTGTTTACCATATGTGCCAGACACTGTTAACAGGGCAGAACTTATATTAACTCATTTACCTCTCATGACAGCCCCAACTTTACGAGGCAGGTGTTATTATTATTCCCCACTCCTTCTTTTTTTTTTTTTTGGTACTGGGAATCAAACTCAGAACCTTGTGCTTGCCAGGCAGGTGCTTGTGCCACTGAGCTATAGCCCTGGCCCTATTATTCCCATTTTATAGATAAGAACACTGAGTCACAAAGGCCCAGCCACTTGCCCAAAGTCATATGGCTAGTAAGTGGCTGGGCTCAGTTTTTAGATCAGTACCATAGCTCATAATCCATATTGTCCATCATACTGTGCTGCTTCTCATGACAAAGCCAGGATTTGAACCCAAAGTTTGCCTCCCTCCATAACACCAGTAGCCTTATGAGCTTTTAAACATGGCTAAAGTTCAGTAAAGCTAAAGCATTTTATAGCAGAGAGGCCTGGGCCTTGGAGGGTAGGTAGGAGGAAGGTGGCCAATATACAGAGGAGAGAAGATGTACCAATATGCAGAGTCTGAGGAGGAAATGGGTGAATTAACCCAGATTAAACTCAAGCAGAATGGGGGAGAGATGCAGATGACCTTCTAGGCCGCCTAAACATTTCCTGCCCCTTGGTGCTGCCATGCCTGGGTTGTTAGACAGCTTAGGGCTGTGGGCAGCCAGAGAATGGTGGGCAAGTCTTTAGATCAGTATAACTGGCCCCCATGTCCATAGGTTCCACATCTGCAGATTCCACTCATAAATCAAAAATACTTGAAAAAATACTCCATTAGAGCCCGGCATGGTATGCACACCTGTAATCTCAGCACTCAGGAGGCTAAGGCAGGAAGATTGCTGCAAGTTCGAGGCCAATCTGTGCTACATAGTGAGTTCATGTCTAGCCTGAACTGCATAGTGAGATCCTTTCTCACCAAAAAAAAAAAAAAAAAAAAAAAAGCGTCTGTATTGAACACAGACTTTTCTTCCTTCTCATTATTCCCAAAACAGTGTAATAACTCCTTCCACAGCATTCACATTGCATTTGGGGTTATAAGTAATCTAGAGATGACCAAAAGCATACAGGAGGATGTATACAGGTTATGTGCAAGTACTGTGTAATTTTATGTAGAAGACTTGAGTGTCCTCAGATTCTGATATCATTGGCTCAGTGGCTCAATTGGTCCTGGGCTCAATCCACAGCAGGTACCAAGGAACAGCTGTGCACTCACAAATGTCTCCCCCTTGCCTTCAAGATAAACTTCTAACTCACTGTCAGGGGTTCCAAGACCTTTCATGATCCAGTCCAGCCCCAGTCCAGCTCCAGTCTCTGGCTACTCTCAGCCTTGAATTTCTTGTTTTTTTTTTTTTTTTTTTTTTTTTTTTTTTTTTTTTGGTTTTTCTCCGGTACCGGGAACCGAACTCACGACCTTGCGCTTGCGAGGCAGGCGCTTTTGCCGCTGAGCTAAATCCCCAGCCCCACAGCCTTGAATTTCTTTGGTCTTGAGTTATTTTCGCTTATTTCTGGGTCTCTGCTCATGCCTCTCCTCTTCCTGGGTCTTTCGCTTCCACCTTTACTGGCAGACTCCTGTGTTTCTGTAGACACCACGTTGTCTCCATTTAGTGCTCTGCCTGTGTGCCCTGTGGGCTGCCTGCAGGCAGGTTATATGTTTTGTTCTCTAACTCCCCAGGGTGCCCAAGTATGTCAGAGATGGTGACTGTACCTCTCTTGCACATCACTGTCTCACCATCACCTAGCCCAGGGCCTAGATGCTGTTAGTGGCTGTTACGATGCGACCCTCAAGCTTCCCCTGCCTCAGTCTCCTGAGTGGCTGTGATTATAGGCATTTGCCACTATCCCTGTTTTGTTTTGCATTTTGTCTTTTTTGTGGTAGGCAGTCAGAATGATGCAGTGTAATTTAGCCCTGACTATGGCAGGCAGCTTGTAGTCTGGTGACTACGGGCATCTGTAGAAAGCTGACGTTTGCGACTCTGGAGCATCCTGTTGATGCCACTTGCTGGAGCCAGAAGTTCCCTTTGAAAAGCGCTCATCAGTTCTGCAAGTCCTCTCCCCTAGTACTGTAATTTTCTTCATTTTATCATCTGCGAAGGTACCTGAAATTATCCTAAAGGGTGTTGTAACCTATTAGTGAAATTGAAAAATGAAATTGATAAAATCTGTTAGAAGCTCTGTTTAAAAATAATATTTGTTAGCCAGGTGTGGTGGTGCATGCCTTTAAAAGCAGCACTTTGGGAAACTGATGCAGGAAGATTGCCTCAAGTTTAAGGGCAGTTTGAACTAGTGAGTTTAGGGCCAGACTAAACTACATAGTGCAACCCTGTCTCAAACAAACACTACATTTGTTCTGTGCTGTACTTTTGCTAGGTGGGAGAGACAAGGATGGTGCTGTGATGAAAGGGGTTTGTAAACTGTGGTGCATTTATCCACTCATTGGAGCATTTTATAACCATGTAGAGGATAGGCTAATTTTTATAAATGACTGACTGTAGTAGAATCTAAGCTATATTAAGATTCAAATAGAAAGCTACCCAGCAGAATGTACATTTGTATCATCATCTATATAAAACAAACACACATAGCCTGGCGTAGTGGTATATGCCTGTAATCCCAAGAGGCTGAGGCAGGAAGATCCCAAGATCGAGCCAGGCCTGAGCAATTTAGTGGCTTAGCGAGACCCTGTCTCAAAAATTAAAAATGGGCTGAGGATGCAGCATAGAGTAAAAGCCTTGGGTTAATTCCCCTAGCTAACTGAGTGAGTGAGGATATAGCTTAACACAAAGATCCTGGCTTTCCCCCACTCCTAGCCAGTCAGTCAATCAGTCAGTCAGTCAGTCAGTAGGGCTGGAGGTGTAGCTCAGTGTGAAGCCCCTGGGTTCAGTCTCCAGTTGCAAAAGACAAAACAAGCAAATACGCACACGCACACGCACACGCACGCTTGCTTGCTCGCTCACTCATATGGTAGGATTTGCTAGAAACTGGTTGCACTAGTAAGCTCCAGAGAGACCAAATGGAGAGCTAGGGCACTGCCGACAGGGAGGAAATCCTGGCTTTCCTCTGTATTCCCTTTTCCACCTTTTGAACACTGAACTATGTGTATTGTTACCTTTTTGTTAAAAAAGAAGAAAAAAAAAGCCTTAAATTGTCCCCTTCCAGCACCAGTGTGGTGATGCTGTAGATTAGATTAACTTCTGCTAGAGTGTTGCCGTGTCACCCTTTCTTGCTCTTCACTGAAGTTGCAAGACCTGTCTGATTTAACCTTTTTTTTCTCTGCCATTAACATTTGACACTTGATAAGGGAGGGAATCATTGCTTTTTACGTTCTGATGAGGGTTTAACCAAATGTCTATGAATTTTTTTGATGATCCTCCAATAAAAGAAACTATACACAAATCAACATCTTTATTCACCTAATTGTGGGAGGCAGTTTTGCCTTTGGATTCTAATCTGCCTCGTTTGTAAGGCAACTAATTGCTGAGTTGTGTTTTGACCTTTTAAAAAAGAAAATCCCCATTAAATAAGTGTTGAGTGCATCCAAAATTCATTTTCCCTCGCTTACATGAATAGGGAGAGGAAGGTAAATTATTCTGTAAGAGTCTAAAGGCTATTGCCTCATTTTCTTGTGTCTGAATTTCCTGGTTGCTTTTGCAGGGCCCTTTTGGATATGTGCCACATTGGTCTTTGCCATAGCAATTAGTGGGAATCTTTCCAACTTCTTAATCCATCTGGGAGAGAAGACATACCATTATGTGCCCGAATTCCGAAAAGGTTGGTGAATAGTGTGGCTCATTTAGAACGCTGTCAGTTTCTAACCATGAGCTCTTTTCCCCCCAGCGCATGGGCCCCCTGTCTCGGGGCTGCGCCCCCTTCCTTCTCTATTACAAGGTTCAGACGTCCCTCCGGGCCCAGAGTTACCACCTATCCTTCTTTTTTCCTACTGTGGTAAAATGTATGTAACATAAAATTTGGCATTTTAAATATATGAATTCAGAGGCCTAAGTACTTTCACAGTATTATAAATTCACATAGTTTTTAGGAAAGCAATAAAGATCCAGACAAGATCCAATAGTGCTTGGAATTTATTCTGTTAAAAAAGTAGAAAATAACTAAAAAGCAGTGTGTGTGAAGGTTCCCATTGAAGCATTGTTTGTACTGTCCCAGCCCTGGAAACAGTGGGGCTGTTGTTACTTTGCTTGTGGTGGCTCAGATAGCTGAGATAGACTGTGACCACTGATTATGAAGAGCAACGTGGGAAACAGACCGCTGATGCCAGACTGGTGCCTGTTCTGTTAGCAGCTTTGTTACAGAGAATCCCGCAAGTGGTCAAGGCCTGGAAGGGAGAATGCAGAAACGAGTGTGACCTGGTGATGGGCTTGTAAATCACAGTCTTGTTTTAAAACTTCTTTCTTGTGTAAGTGCTATGCAGTGAAAAGAGCAGAACAGCTCTTAGGGATTTGCAAATGACCGCCACCACAGAGCAGGGAAGTCTGGCTGCATAGCAGGTTGACCTGTGGCACTTTCTCAAGTCCCAGCGCCTTCCCCGGCCACCCTCATCCTGAGAGAGTGTTGGTAGCCTGGGCAAGAGCATCCGGAGCCAGAGCACGGACTGCAGCTTCCAGCTGTGCCCCTCACCACTTCACCTCTGGGCGCAAGTTCTTTCATCTCGCCTGGCCTCAGATTCATTGGTGAAATAGAGATGATGATACTTACATGATAGGGCTGTTGTAAGAAGAAAGAGTTGACACATGTCTTAGAATAGTGGCTTGTACGACATGAATTCAATGAATATTAACAACTGTTCTCTCTGATAGGTTTATGTGCACATATTGTGTGCGCACATCTATTCACGTGTATAGAGACATGTATTTATGTGTATGTAATGAGAGAGTATCCATGTGTCCTTCCTTCTCTTCCTCCCCTGTGCCTTCCATACCGATTTTCCATTTTTTTCCTTCTTCATCATGGAGTCAGACCCAGATTCAGTCCCAACTCTGTTTATCAGATATCTTTGGCTTGAATTTAACCCTGGCTTCAAGTAGCTCTACACATAAATAAAGCAGGATAGGTGAGTGAATATTACTGTACATAGTACATGTTAACTTCTTTTTTTTTTTTTTGAGATGGGGCCTTGCTATGTAGTTCAAGCTGGGCTTGAACTCACTTTGTAGCCCAGGCTGGCCTTGAACTGGGAGAAATCCCCCTGCCTCAGCCTCTCGAGTGCTGGGATTACAGGTGTGTGCCACCACACCTGTCACATGTTAACTTCTGTAACTTCCGAGCTTTGTGTGGGTCTATTACACAGAAAAGTGACCCACCCTTCCTGGGCACCTAGAAGCATAGGAGCATCTTTATCTATATCAGAGACTGGTGTGATATATGTACCAGTAAGATAGTCACAGCCACATCAGTAAGCATTGTCTCATTTTATGTAGAGTATGAGTCACATCTGGTCTTAAATCCAGCTTCTACCAACTAGTTAATTGTGTGACCTTGATCAAAGTAACTTCTCTGCTCCCGCTTCTTCTCCAAAACAGTAATACAGATTATATGAAATAATGCACATATTAGTTAATAATATAAAAGTTAAGTCTTGATTGAGTATTTATTATTATCAGTTCCTGCTCTACTGAATTCCTACCAGTGTCTACTTCCTTAATTCTCCTAGTAATTTCTAAAGGTGATTTTGTTTCCACTTTGCAGATGAGGAAACTAAGGCAGGAAGGTTAAGTAACTCACCCCCTGAAAAGCTCCTTTGCCTAGGGTTAGAACCCATGCCATCTGATATACTTCGTGCCCTGTCATATATTCTTGCATGTCAGTAAAACCCTGAGTGTAATGCCTGGTGCCCAGTACGTGATCATTAACTGGTACCTATGGCTAGAGTAGAATTTCATTCCTCTTTCCTTGGTTATCCAAGAAAAAGGCATTATGTCAATAAAATTACATCTGGCTTAATGAGGGCTCCAGTGTGAAAAACGTGCTCTAGGAGCTCCAGATGTTTTGGATAATCACATCTTAACAAGAGTCTGATGTAATTGTTGGGGGGGAGCTTTGTTCTTACCAGGCTCTGTTAAGTGAGCTGCCTGCTGGTTTCCACGTAGGAAGGGCTGGTGCCATGGACAGGCCATGCTTTATAGAAGAGGGAAGAGAGTCCTGGTGGGCTCGCTACCGCGAGCAGGGAAGGAGGAGCAGTGCAGTGATACGCTCAGCACTGTTCCCCAGGGCCCCGCCTGCGCTCCACCAGCGAGGCAGTTATTCGTGTAAGAAGAAAGTGAAACTGGAGAGCGGTGCAGGCAATTCATCAGTGAGCTGGAACTCTATATTTCAGAGACAGAAAGATCTAAATAGCATACAGAGCAAGTTAATCTGTGCCCAGGGCATTTTAATAAATTTGCTAAAGAAATCAGTGTCAGCTCTTGTTTTGCTAGGGAGGAGAATGTATTCTTCCAAGGGGATAGTTGGCTTTTATTTGATTGAAATGTTCAGTATATTTAAATGCTAGCTGTGTGGCCCTCTGAAGTATTTCACTTGCATAATTCAGTTGTTTAATAATATTAGTTGTTGTTAAATGAATTATAGAAGCCATATAGGAGAGTACTGGTTATCACAACAAAGGCATGTGCTAAAGATGTGTTAGTTGAGCAAATGTTTATAAGGCACCCACTGGGTATCAGGTACTGTGCCTGACCTGGGAAAAGCCAGGCAGTAAGCCATGATCCCACCATCCACTGCTATAAATTGATATTTTAAGAAAAAGGCCAGTATGTTTTGAGAAGTCATCCTGGTGGGGATGAAAATTGTGTCCTGTCATCCACAGTGTCCATAGCAGCCACAGTCATCTATGCCTATGCCTGGCTGGTTCCTCTTGCTCTCTGGGGTTTCCTCATGTGGAGAAACAGCAAGGTTATGAACATCGTTTCCTACTCATTTCTGGAGATCGTGTGCGTCTATGGCTATTCGCTCTTCATTTATATCCCCACGGCAGTAAGTACCACACTGTGGAGCAACCTCTGAGTGACACTTTCTTCACGGGGGGAACTGAATCAAGAGTTTGCCAGGTGTTGTTTCCAAACTAACACTCCCGCTAGCAACAGTCCCACTTGAATTTAAAGTAGATGGGGACTTGGGGGCCATGTGCCTGCCTGGCTTGCAACCCCTGAAGCATCTGCCTCAGGCTATTGCTGGTGGAGTTTCTCCAGCCTGTCCTGGAAACCAGATGCATACTGGGGGCCCAGCCACCGATTGCCTCGGGGATTTATAAATGTATGTGGCTAAGGTGAACAAATACTTTTCTGAAATGCCTCCTAACAATTCTTCCTCCACCCTTCTTTTGTCTTCTTTCAGATTCTGTGGATTATCCCCCAGAAAGCAGTTCGCTGGATTCTAGTCATGATTGCCCTGGGCATCTCAGGATCTGTCTTGGCAATGACATTCTGGCCAGCTGTTCGTGAGGATAACCGGCGCGTTTCAATGGCCACAATTGTGACAATTGTGTTGCTTCACATGCTTCTTTCTGTGGGCTGCTTGGTATGGTGTTATTCCTGAATTCTTTTGGCATGTTTTATGCACAAATTCTAAAAGACTTCAAACTGTCAGGCACAGCGTTTTCTTTAAGATTGATCCCATGGCAAGGGCTGGGGATTTAGCTCAGCGGCACAGCACCTGCCTGGCAAGTGCAAGGTCGTGAGTTCGATTCCCAGTCCTGGAAAAAACAAAACAAAACAAAAAACAAACAAACAAAAAATTGCTCAAGGCTCGGTGTGGTGGTACATACCTATAATCCCAGCACTCAGGAGGCTGAGGTAGGAAGATCAAAATTTCAAGGTCAGCCTAGGCAATTTAGCAAGACCATGTCTCAGAATAAAATTTAGAAGCCAGGCATGGTGGTACACGCCTGTAATCTCAGCACTCCGGAGGCTGAGGGAGGCTGAGGATCACTGCGAGTTCGAGACCAGCCTGGGCTACAAAGTGAGCTCAAGGCCAGCCTGAACTGTATAGGGAGACCCTCTCAAAAAGACAAAACATACATACATACATACATACATAAAATAAAATTTAGAAAAAGGGCTGAAATGTAGCTATGGAATGCTTGTCTAGCATGCACCAGGCCCTGGGTTTCATCTCCAGTATCACACACATGTCCAAGAAATAGACATTGATTTACACTGTCCTAGAGAGGATGTGATAAAATGATGAGAATTTGATTTAGTCTCTGGCTTTAAGGTTTAGTGTCTGGTAGAGGAGGTATGGGTGGGCATGTGCCTCTGTAAAGGGCTGAGGGATGGTTTTGGAGGAACTCTGCCTTTGGGTGCCTTGTTGGCTTCCATCATAACTAGAAAGATTTTGAATTTAAAGTTTCACAGGTAGAAAGTCTAAGAATGAAGCCAAGAACAGGAAAGTGGAGTTGACTTTAGGGAGGCAACATGTAGAGCAGGATTGGGGTCCCTGTTTCTTGGTGTCTTTAGGAAGAGCCTGTGTTTTTTACATCAGGCAGGCCTAGGTAGAAGGCCAGCTGTGTTCTGTACTGGCTATGTCAGCATAGCCATGGTTCTATATTTCTGATCTTAATTTCTTCATCTGTAGCATGACTATATTTCTTGCCATAGGGCTGTCCTGAGGATCAAACAAAATAATACATAGAAAACACTTATCAAGCTAGACATGATGATATATATCTGTAATCCCAGCACTTGGGAGGCTGAGGCAGGAGGAATCCTGCGAGGTCAGGACCAGCCTGGGCTACATAGTGAGTTCAGAGTCAGCCTGAACTTCATAGCAAGACCCTGTCTCCCAAAACAAGAAAGAAAGAAAAAGAAAACACTTAACATAGCCTTGGGTGGGGAGGTACTTAGCATTATGAACTTAGGCAGTTTAACTTTTAGGGCATTGGTTTCCTGGTTTCCTAGTCAGAGATTCACATCTTCCTGGGCTTTTGTGAGAGATACTGTGAGGTGGTTGTAGAAACCCTTCATATGCTGTGAAGGGCTGTTCAGGTGAAAAGATGTTAGGAAAAGAGCCCCAAGTCACCAGAAGCTGCCAGGGCCAGTCTGTTGCATAGTGCTTCTTGATGCCCACCTAAGACAGTAGTCCAAGGTAACACAACTCATACATGGACTACAGCTCAGGTCTCCCTTGGGCCAGGATGTAGCTCAGCAGCAGAGTGCCTTCCTGGCAAGCACAAGGTCCTGAGTTCACTTTCCAGTACCAAAAAAAAAAGCTCAGGTCTCCCACCCTGAGAGTGTCCCTTTGTTGCTGCCTCTCACTGTGACTTCCCATCTCTGCTGAATTCCTTATCCATTTTATACCTGGCTGAGAAGGTGGGAAGGAGGAGGAGACAGGAGAGAAGGCCCTTCTGTTCAGCCTGTGCAGCTCTCCACAGCAGAGCAGAGGGGACGTGGGGCAGTGGGGTCCTTGGTGGGAGCCAGGAAGGCAGGATTTTCTCCTCCTCAGGGAAATTGAGGTGGGTACAGAGAGCCCTGCATGCTGGGCTCTGTTCTCTGTACTGAGGATGCTGCCTCCTACGGTTTGGAGGAGAGCTGGCCTGGAAGCGAGGAGACTTGGTGCAGTCCCAGCTCCACCACTCCCTGCTTTAGTCATTTCCCGTCTCGAGCTCCTGCCCTCTTACCTAGGAAAAGGAGTTGATTGTGCACAGCACAGTAGCATCTTTGCTTCTGTAAGCATTGAATGATATTTGCAACATAAAAAATATGGCAAATGGAAGGTATTGTTATTATTGCAAGGATGGAGAGAGGAATTGGCAGGGGAGTCATCTGAGTTGAGGGGCACTGCCTGAACCAGACAGCCAGGCTCTTTCCCTCCCCTGGGAAGCATGGGGTGGTGTTTGCCTCAGTACAGTGAAGCATGTGACAGCCTCACACCTGCTGAGGGCCCCTCAGTGAGCGCACTTGTGAACGATCCTCAAATCCCATGGGGCACCTGGCACGCATGGCAGAGGCTGCATCAGGAGCTTGTATACTTTTAGGGTTGTTTAGAGTCACACAAGCTTGGGTTGGAGGGGATCTGCTGACAGAGGATCTGTGCCGTCTACTCCTAGAGAGCCCATGATCTTCTCTGAGGCCTCATGGGCTGGGTGTAGACCTACTACCAAATTGCAAGCTGTGTTGGAGACTGGACACAGTTGTGCAACCTTGAGAAAATCTTAGCTTTCTCGTCTTTAAACTGGAGCTAAAACCAGCTGTGGTGGTCACACCTGTAGTCCCAGCACTTAGAGACAGCAGGAGGATCACTGCATTTGAGCTCAGCCTAGGCAGCTTATTGGGACCCTGTCTCAAATAAAAATAGAAAAGGGCTGAGATATAGCTCAATGAGAATACCTTGGGTTTAATACCCCAGTACTACCAAAAAAAAAAAAAAGAAAAAAAAAAAGAAAAGAAAAAGAAGACAAGAAAAAAAGAAACGGCCCTTAGAGATCATCTTTTTCAGTCCTGGAGTTTTACTGAGAAAGCTGAGGCTCCTGAGGCAGAGGATCTGTCCAGGTTCACTGTGTGAGTTAGGAGCTGTGGAACCTGGGACCTTGGTGCATTTCATCTCACCAGTGTTCCTTCCCGAAGCCCGGAAGAGCGTTCCTCCTCCCGTGTCGGAGGCCTTGGTGACTGGGCTCCTGTGGGAGAACTAGACGGACTAAAATGGGCAGTGTGGCTGCTGCTCCCTCTTAAATTTAGAACTTTTCTCTCCCTGCCCTAGAAAACAGCTGCAGGAAGGGGGCCTAGGGAGGAAGCCTTTTAATCGAAGTAGAATTGTTGTGAGGATGGATGAACTAGAGGCAGTTAGAAAAGGTGACAGTGGGGGACTTTTTGAAAAGGAAGGTTGGACAGCTGAGACAGAAAAATGTCAGACAGGCTCCAGCATGTCACACTGGTGCCCTCTTCTGGCTGGTAGGCAGCAGAGCTGGTGAAAGTGGACCTTGGTGGCTTGTTAACTTCGTTGTAATGCACTGCTGCCAAGGTGGGGTCTGCAGCAGTTGGTGGCCCTTGCCACGGGATAGATTTACTTTCCCTTTGAACAGCCAGTGTTCAAGGTAGCAAGGTTGATATTTTCCTGGGCTAATGTTAGGATTCACAGACCTTGAGACAGGAAGATCCTCCTTAATGTCTTCCCTCCTCTATCCTCACCTGATTTTTGACAGTTAAATCGGAGACGGTGACTAGAAACACTTACCAAACCTTTCACTCCCAAGCAGAAGAATTAGGGAGGGAAGTATACCTAGCACTTTCTTTGCAGAGAGCCAATGACTGCTTTAGCAACAACCTACCCCTAGTTTGCGCTATGAAGTACTGATTGTTTACATAGTGTGCCAGGCCTTGTGCAGGCGCTGGTGGCACAAAGGAGGCTGGACAGACTGTCTTTGCCCTGGAAGAGAGACTGTAACACAGCATTTTGGAGCCAGGGGGACCTAGTCTGGGGTCCTGGCCCCATCATTTATGACCGTTGCTCTGACCTCACAGGGTTAAGTCATGTAACATAGTAAGTGCCCAATAAACGGAGGCAGGATTTCAGAAGGTGCACATGCACACACCAAGAAGAGCCTGCTGATGTGACTTTCCGTGTGATAGCCTGCCCTGCTTTCTCCATGGTGTCCTTTTATCTTGCTTTTTCCTCTTTTACTTGGCCCAAGTTTGCTCTGCAGAGCCAGTTTCTATCTTGTTCTTCACTTTTAATTTTTCAAGTAAACATAGTCACCGCTTAAAAAAAAGTAAAGGTATACACAGATGAGTGAGGCAGATACAGAGACAGTCACACCGCAGTGTGATGGCAGACACAGGAAGCGGGATCTAGGGGCCATAAGAACCCAGGGCTGGTAGCATGGAGCCTAAAGGAACACTTCCCTGGTCCATCATTTGTGACTGCCTCCTGCCCCTCTTTTCCTGCAGGCCTACTTTTTTGATGCCCCAGAGATGGATCATCTCCCAACAACTACAGCTACTGCTAACCACACCATTGCAGCAGCCAAGTTCAGCTAAGGAGAAAAGTAAGAGATTATATTTGTGTCTTGTTGTGCGGCGCAGTAGAAGATGAGCCGGTGCAGCAGTTACTGTTAGCATAGAACAGGCAGGTCCAGACGCTGTGTCTGCATTTCTCGTGAGCATGAGCATGTTTGTGCATGTCTGTTTGTGTGTCCTTGTAGTTGAAAGCTTAAGGTTTGAAATCCATATGATGCTGGCCTCCTAAGTTGGGGAACATGAGTTTTTCAGTTCTACTGTAAGAGACACCTCTGCCTTTGTCCTGCTGTCTTCCTCCCTTTACTCTGTGTACGCTTTCTAGCAGCACGATGTGGGTCGGTTTCAGAACAATCCTGGTAGTTTGAGTATCTCTGTGGCTTCTCCTGCTGGCTCAGACCCTGAGCTGACCCCTCTTAAATTACCCCTGGAGTTCTCTGAAGCCTTCTAAACTGTCATGCCTCATTGGGTCCCAGGGCCTTTGTGGTGATTCCACTGTGAATGGCGAGGTCAGTGGGTTAGAGAGAGTACAGGGAAAATGTTCAACCTCATAGTTTATTCTTTGCCCTGCTGTTGCATGGCCTTGGTTAACCCAGGCTGCAGCGATGCTGAACTTTTTTGTGTGTGTGGCACTGGGGATTGAACCCACATATGCTAAGCAAGCACTCTGCCACCAAGCTGTGCCCTCCTTTTTGGACTAAATCATGGTAGATAGTTGCAGTGCCAGTTTTCTGAGATGTTTCTACCCTTCCAGCACTCATCACTTGCCTTGTGATCCTGTTATACTTTGTATTACACATACATCAGTCATTGTCTGTCCGTGTGTCCATCTGCCAGTCCGGTAATTTGTTTCATTATTTAGTAATCCATTGGTCCTTTATGTGCTAGTGAGTCTCCCCAGTGAGACGCAGCTCCATGAAAGCAGCTTTCATTGCCCATCCTATAACCTGTGTCACTGGATGCTCAAACATTTGTGGAAAGAATAAATGAAGCCACCCTCTGTACACGATCTCACTGTAGGCCAAGGATTTCTGTGCTTTGTCATCACCAGCTGGCCCTTCTGCCCAAGCTGCTGTCTCCTGGAGTAGTGAACTATATGCAAAGGTCAGGGGCTTTATTGTCAAGTAGAATTACAATTAAATCTTATCCCTGCCATGTACTAGCAGTGTGCCTTGGCCAAGGGCTTACTCTCTCTGGGCCTTAGCTAATTATAAAATAAGGATAACACAACCTGTATTACAAGGTTGGGCACCTGCCTATAATGCCAGCTACTTGAGAGGCTAAGACAAGAGGATCACAAGTTTGAGCCCAGCCTGGGTAACTTAGCAACTTAGAGAGACCCTGTGTTAAAGGGAAAAATAAAAACAGCTGGGGATGTAGCTCAGTCTGAAGACCCTGGGTTCAATTCCGCACCACACAACACCCCCACACACAGTGAAGATTAGAGAGAATGTTTATAAAAGCTCCTGGCACACAGTTGCTCATAACATTTTTAATCCCAGCACTCAGGAGACTGAGGCAAAAGATTCACTAGTTCAAGGCCAGCTTGGACTACACAGTGAGACTTTGTATCAGCTCCCTGCCCCGTTGCTGGTAGACCAAAATATGTATGGAAATTTGATGGTTCCCACTGATTTTATTGTGATCCTCTATTTCCTTATTGAAAAGCAAGTGGGGATTTTCTCTCTTCATTGAGGAATTCAGGTTGCAGGTCCAACAACTGACAAGACGTGACTGGTCAGAGCTGTCTCCAGTGATCTTGTTGGTCCATTCTCCCTGGTGAATGGACTGAGCAGGGAACTACCGTAAACTGCCACAGGCCTTCACCCTCCCTTCTTTTCTCAGGGGTGTGTGTATTCGAATCCAAGAAGGTCAAGGCTCTTGGAGATGGTATGAGATTCCCTCCTCGTCTCACAGTAAGGAAGCCAAGGCTTTATCCAAGACTGCCTGAGTTTGGTGCAGATTGATGCGCATGCATCTCGTTTCATTTTACAAAACACTGACCCCATCACTCTTGTTGCTCTGTCCAGCCCCGTCCACCTCGTATAGGTGAGGCCAGAGTAAGTCTGAGTTGACTAAAATCATCTGTCACTTAAAGGCAGAGCCGGGACTTGAATCTAGGTCTTGGGCAGATAATTTCTGAGTTTTTTCGCTCTCCCATTTGTTTGGATGATATTCCTTTTGCCTCTAAGACTCACTGGTACACGGCTGGCATTTGGTTCTCTTTTGAGCCCTCCTTTGCTGCTCTAGCGATTCCATAGTTCTGAGGTCACCTTACTTCTTGACTGCATGTCCTCTCAGTCACAAGTCTGAGTCCGATGTGACTTCCCTGTTGCCACCCAACAATAGCTCCGCAGATTTAACTCCTGACAGTTCCTGCAGGTGGGGAATCGGGGCATTGCTCAGCTTGCTTCTCTCTGGGTTCTCTTCCAAGGCTGCAAGCGAGTGTGGGCCAGGCCTGGGGGCTCATTGAGTGCCGCACTGGCGGGGAGGTCTTCCCAGTTCACATGGCGCCAGCAGGACCCTGTTGGTTGTAGTTTGTTAGGATAAGGGCCACCTTGCTGACTCTCCAGTGGAGGCCACCCTCAGTTCCTTGTCCCTTGGCTGCTTCATCTGATGGTTCATCAAAGTTGTAAAGGGAGAGTCAGTAGAGGGTCTGTTAGCAAACAAAGTTACAGTCTTAAAAACTTGAAAATGACAGCTGTCACTTTGCCATATTCTGCTGGTTAGAAGCAAATAACACTCAAAAGGAGGGGATTGCACAGGCCACAACTACCTGGAGATAAGGATTGTGGAGGCCATTTTCAAGTCTTTTCCACAAGTACTACCTGGTGTGATATGTGTATACTTGAGACTGTTGTCAGTCCAGTTGTGAAAGCTTAGTTCTATTTTTTGGATGAAGTAGAAGTTCTACAAGCTTCTTCCACTGCCTCAGCAGGTTGGTTTTGGAGCCTCTTCCCATAGAATGAGCAATTGGTAATTCTGTGCGTCATGGTTAAATGTCTGCACTCTTGTTCAGCTCGTTCTGTAGCTGAACTCCAATGATCGTTGGTAGAGAAGGCCACAGGGCATGGTGGGCCCCTTCTTGGGGCTGAAGGTCTTACCTAACTTGGCCTCTGCAGTGCCTGGCCCAGTTCCCATTCATAGCAGGAGGATGAATGGAACCCTCATAAGATGAAGGCACAGAGGCTGTGGCCTTTCCCAAAGGTACTTGGCTTGCTGGGCTCAGGGCCACCATTTACATTTTTGTTTTTCTGTCTTGTTTTTTTGTTTTGTTTTTTGTTTTTTTGGTTTTTCTCTGGTACCAGGAACCGAACTCACGACCTTGCGCTTGCCAGGCAGGCGCTTTGCCGCTGAGCTAAATCTCCAGCCCCGTTTTTCTGTCTTTTTGAGACAGGGTCTCGCTATGCAGTTCAGGCTGGCCTCAAACTCACAGCGATCCTCCTGTCTCAGCCTCCCAAGTGCTGGGATTACAGGCATGTGCCACCATGCCCAGCCACCATTTACTCTTTCATTCACACCTTTATTGAAGGTGCTCTGGCCTCTCAAAATCACATTTAGTCTTGGCCTCTTGGTGCAGTGAACAGCCTAATAGTTGATACCATTTGGTGTGAAAAATGCCTTAGGTATATTGTCGACTGAACATTGTGACTCAGGTGGCTTCCAGGGACAAGGGTAGAGATCCTTGTTAGAACTAGGTCCTAAAGGTTGAGTAGTGAAAAGAGTAGCCAGCTACCTGTGGTTTTGGGGAAAGGATGCTATAGGCCAATCAAGGTGATGTGGTGACACCGTGTATGTTCGCATCTCAAGAACAAGAAATTCTGAGCCTAACTGGAGAGGGACAGATAGGCGCAGGAGCCCAGTTACCTGGACCTCTCCCTTGGCCCAGATACCTGGATGTCAGCCTCCTGAGGGCCCTTTTGGCCTCCTGCTGAGCAAGACTTCTGTTTGATACTTGCCTTGCCTTGTAAGGGATGCAGGCCAAGAACTGCAGGTGCTGTAACCTGTGGGAATCAGAGCTGTGTCTGAGGAGAGCTTGGCCTTCAGAGCCCTTGGGGAGCTTCTATCTTGGGCTCCATAGACGGGGTACCTCTGGGCTTTGCTCAGATCTAGACACTTAGGTGTCAGCACCTCCTTCTGGTGTTAAGTCTCCAAATGAGATGGTGACAGACAGCACCTTCGCAGCCTCCCTGGTAGAAGCATCCATCACTTTGCCAAGAAATGGCAAAGTGTCTGGGCCCTGGGCGCTGCAGATTTATGAGCTGGCTGTGCCTTCTACTATAATTTCTGGACTCTAGCTCTTACCAAAAAAGAATGGCTTCTAATCTCCACGATAACCTTCCCCATGTAAATCTGTACAGTCAAAGCCTTAGCCTGGAACGGGTTCCTGGGAGAGCATTAACCCCTTCTCTCCCGGGAACCTCAGAATCCCAGGGGAATTTCTGATTACTTGTAAATAGGGAAGCTCTCCTACATAAGTCACTGACATGGGATAAAGAATGTCAGCTTCTGTCCTTCCTTCTTCACTCATTGTCATCTGGAGGCATTGCCATTTCTTCCAGGAACCAGAACCTCGTGACAGCCTGAAAAGTGGACCTGGGGAGCTCAGCTTTGGCTTGAGGGATGGAACCTATGAAGGAGCACGCCCAGAGTTGGCTGCCTTCCTGCGGGCAGTGACGGAGCTGCCAGCAGATAATTGTACTGCAGTGTGATAAGGGCTTTAATAATAGATGAACAAAGGGCTTCTGGAGAGTCCTTTGTAATTAAAACCCTCCTGATTTGATACACAGAGTCTGCATGCAATTATCATTTACTTGCTCATGTTGAGAGCATTCATTTTATAAGCCACTTTGCAGGGCTTATACACATCAATTCTTTAATTCTGAAATCAGCTTTAACTCGGTGCTGTAATCTCCACTAACACAGCATCCAAATTGCATGAGGTCGCACCAGCGCTAATGTATCCCTTCCTAGAGAATGTGTTTGCAGCCCCTGGGTGGTTTCTTTCTCAGTTTTCTTTGTTGTTCCTTTT